AGACCCCCACTCTCCCCCATCCCCCGGGATTCCCCGCTCTCCCCCATCCCTGAGGATTCCCACTCTCCCCCATCCCCGGGGGTCCCGCTCTCCCCCATCTCCGTTCTCCCCGCTCTCCCCGTCCCGGGGGTGCCGCGCTGACGGGGCGCGCAGACCGCGCGGTGCGCGCTGCCGCGGAGGTGCTGCAGGAGCGGCCGGCGCCGCGGGACGAGTGCGCGCTGGAGATCCTCAAGGGCGCAGCGCTGCGCCGGAGGGAGCTCTACTACCGCTACAGCTCCACGCGGCTGCCGCTGCTGCTGCGGGACTGCGCCGCCGAGCTGCTCGATTACCTGGTGCGGAGCCGCTACCGCCTGCCCGCGCCCCCCGCCGCCCCCCGCCCGCCGCTCTGAGCCCGCCGCCGGGAGGGTCCCCGGCTCCGGGAGGGTCCCCGGCTCCGGGAGGGTCCCCAGCACCGGGAGGGTCCCCGGCACCGGGACGGTCCCTCCTCCGACACCGGGACGGTCCCTCCCCTGGCACCGGGAGGGTCCCTCTCCTGGCACCGGGAGCGTCCCTCCCCTGGCACCGGGAGGGTCCCCGGCACCGCGAGGGTCCCACGGCACCGGGAGGGTCCCCGGCACTGGGAGGGTCCCCGGCACCGGGGGGGTCCCCGGCACCGCGAGGGTCCCTCTCCTGGCACCGGGAGTCCCTCCCCTGGCACCGGGAGGGTCCCCGTTCCTGGCCGGTCCGTGCTGCGCTGGCGGCACCGCCGGGACAGAGCCCGCAGCGGCGGCTCCGTGCCCTGCTCGCCCCGCCCGGCCGCGGAACGCTAATTATTGAGCTAGTTATTAAATAAAGTGTATTAACCCGACGGCTCTGCGTGTGTTATCGCATTTCTCAGCTGTTCATGGGCACAGCTCCCCTGGGCACTGCCCGGGATGCAGGGGCAGCCACAGCTGCTCTGGGCACCCTGTGCCAGGGCCTGCCACCCTCACAGGGAACAATTCCTCCCTAATTTCTCCTTACCCCAAGATCACCCGCAGAAGCCAGCACACACAGAGTGGGCTCTGCCCTTTAAACTTTCAGAAAATCACCCTCAAAGCCATTTGCCGCCTGCCCAGCAGACACTGAGCAGAATCACACCCCTGGGAAAGTTGAAGATCTCTCCTATTCATCCACTTGGCTCTTTTACTGCCTTTTGCAGCCCATGGATTCCTCAACAGTGATATTTTTCAGGGGTCAGAACCACCCAGCAAACTGCCTGTGTTACCCCCATGGTGATATCCCAGAGGATAAACCAGAACCATCAGCAGTGGTTGGAAAATGGAACCTTTGCCAGGCCTGCTCCGTACAACAGAGTGCTGCTCAGTAAATCCTTGTGCAGCAGCGAGGAAGGGAAGGGCTGCTCCTGGTTTAGATGTGGGTGGGGAGAGAGGGATGTGCACTGGTCCCAGGGATGTGTGCTCTGAGGGGACACTGCTGTCCCAGGGCAGCCACCAGAGCCTGCACCCACTGCTCTGCTCTGTGCCTTCCCTTCAGCTCTCAAATGCACTCCTGCCTCTCCTGGCAGGCCAAGGGTGCAAAGGGACAGCCTAAAGTCCAAAGCCACACGCTTCATTAGGTTAATGTTTGCTAAATCACCGGCAGGGCAAAGAAAAGGTCCAACAGCAAACTTGTGTGAGATAAGAACCAGCTCAGAACTTGCCAGCCCCGTTTGCAAGCTGCAGCCACCTTCACCTCCCCGCGGGGCTCGTCTGGTTCCTGCCTGCACCTCTGCAAGGGGATGGGATTGCTCCTGAAGATTCTCATCCCTTTGCTGGGAGCAGCACTGGCCTTTTATTTTTATTCGGCACCCGAGAACTTCAGTGAAGGTAAGCTGGAGAAGCAGGCTCCACAAGCACCGCCAGAGGGGCGGCGTGTGCCGGGCACGGGGACCCGGACGGGCCTGGCAGAGTCAGGGAGGGCTGAGGGCCGGGAGGGGAGGTCAGACCGCCCCAGGCAAGGGTCAGAGCACCGGGGAAACTCACGGAGCTACACTGGCTCTGCTGGGACACGGCGCCTGACCTCTGTAAATGACTTATTCGGGAAACAAGCAGGTCTAAACGTTCCATCCTTTTACTGGCCAGCTCTCCCCGCTGCCTGGCCAGGCTTGGTGCAGAGCTCAAGCCTCCCCACCACACTGGAACTGGGGATCAGGCTCCAGCGGGGTCTGGCGAGGCTGGCAGGGGCACGGAGGAGCCGCGGTGCCCGGGGGCAGAGCGCCAGCGAGGGCTGTGCCAGCCCTGAGCTCTGCACCCTCCTCTGCAGAGATGCTCCGGGGGAAGCGGGTGATCGTGACGGGAGCCAGCAGCGGCATCGGCGAGCAGATGGCGTATCACCTGGCACGCATGGAGGCCCACCTGCTGCTCACGGCACGCACCGAGGCCCGGCTGCAGAAAGTAAATGGCGAGCGGGGCGCGCCGGGCCGGCTGCGGTGTTCCCCCCAGCCCGGGCACAGCGGGTACCCTGCAGATCCAGCCCAGGCCTTCCCCAGCAGCAGCCCGGCCCAGGAAGGAGCAGCCTGGGCTGGGGGTTCCGAGCAGGGCAGTCCATCCCAGCCCGTTCTGCCCGCAGGTCGTGGAGCGATGCCTGGAGCTCGGCGCTGCCTCCGCCCGCTACATCAGCGGCTCCATGGACAGCCCCAGCCTGCCCCAGGAGCTGCTCAGGGAGGCTGAGAACACCTGGGGTAGGTGCTGTGGAGCTGTCTTCTGTGGTCTGGGGGGCTCCCGGGATGAGTGGAGAGACAGGAATCTCAACTCAGTGTTTCAGAAGGCTGGTTTATTATATTCACCCTAGCAAAGGATTTTTATAAAATATCACGGCTCCAGCCCTCCCACCCCAGAGCCCAGCGCAGCCCCCAGGAGGGGCTGGCTGGAGGTGACAGCGGCTGGTGGCACCCCTGCTCTGCCCCCAGGTGGCCTGGACATGCTCATCCTGAACCACATCGGCCAGAGCGGCTTCACCTACTTCAGCGGGGACGTGGGGCACGTCCGCAGGCTCATGGAGACCAACTTCATCAGCTACGTGGCCTTGGCCACGGCTGGCCTGCCCATGCTGAAGGAGAGCCAGGGCAGCATCGTGGTGGTTTCATCCATAGCAGGTGAGCTCCCGGGGCCCTCAGCCTGCCTCGGATCCCTGCTGAGACTCTGCTGCAAAAGGCAGAGGAAGGACCACAAGCAGAGTCACTCAGGGTCAGCAGGTGATTGAGCTCTTTGGTGCACAATTCAGATGCTCTGGGAAATTCATCTTTTGTGCTGTCAGTGTCTTGGCACCCTCTGGTCGCCTTCACACGCCGCAGTGCAGGTGATTTCACAGGCATGGCCACACATTTAAAACACACTTGCAATACATGCGCATCTCTGAGGGGATACAAAAGCAGTATCAGCTGCTCTGGGAGTCCCTTTGAGCCATATGTTACATTTTAAACATTCCTAAGCGTGTTTTACCTCTCAGGCATTCCAATAGCTTATCCCAACACCCTCAATCCCAACACTGTAGCTACTGGCAGGGCAGGAGGGAGGGAGAGCTGTGCAGCCTGGTGCCTGCCCAGCACCTGAACCCCAGCACTGTGTCCAGGTAAAATTGCCGGCCCTTTTACTGCTCCCTACTCCGCAACCAAGTTCGCCTTAGACGGATTTTTCAGCTCCTTGAGGCAGGAACTCATCATAGACAAGGTGAACGTTTCCATCACGCTCTGCATCCTGGGCTACATCAACACAGGTAAGCTCAGCCCTGCCAGGACCCCGTGGCTCAGTCCATCCCAGGCCCAGCCCAGCTGAGCCCAAACCCAGTCCCTGGTGCCAGCCTGCTCTGCCACTGCTGCTGGAGCCTCCTGCAGCCTCTGCAGCTGGGAAACACCACCCCAACCCTTCCAAAAGTGTGGCCTGAGGCCTTGGACTCTGCCAGGCTCGCAGCGAGCTCAGGAGAGGTCAAGGGAAGGGGAAGGGGAAAGGAAAGGAAAGGAAAGGAAAGGAAAGGAAAGGAAAGGAAAGGAAAGGAAAGGAAAGGAAAGGAAAGGAAAGGAAAGGAAAGGAAAGGAAAGGAAAGGAGGAGAGGAGAGAATTGTTATTGTCACTGTTCTAAGCCTGGTCGAACAGGTGTGATCCCCAGAGCTGGTGGGTTTGGGGGTGCCCCGGACACCCCAGTGTGTGGTGGTGCTGTGGCCGTGTCCCCCCTGACTCGCCCGTGTCCCCGTTGCAGAGAGCGCCGTGCGGGCCGTGTCACACGTCATCCCCGACACGCCGGCCCCCAAGGAGGAGTGTGCCCTGGAGATCATCCGGGCCGGGGCCCTGCGCCGCAGGGAGCTGCACTACCCGGCGCGGGCCGTGGGCAGCATGCTGCTCGCCCGCAGCCTCGCCCCCGAGCTCCTCGAGTCGCTCGTCCGCAGCAGCTACCGCCTGGAAAACGTCCGCAGAACGTAGTCCTGGGGCTGGGCTGGCACCTGGGGCCCAGCAGGACGGCTCTGGCTGTGAGCCCAGCTCCCCTCCACGCGCTGGGCATCCCTGTGCTGGCGCCCTGGCAGCCTGGGCCGGGACACTCCAGGAGGCTACCGCAGCACAAAAATGTCCTTTTTAGTCATGGGCGCTCATAAAGGGCTTTTTCCAAGGAAGCACTTTAGAGAAGTCCTGCAGCAGGATGTGCTGCCAGTGCCCTGCCCACGGGCAGGTTCCTGCTCAGCCTGCAGAAGCTGTTCCCTCTGGAAAGCCACCGAGGCAGCAGAGCTGAGCCCTGGCCCGGGACCAGGCTTTGGACCACGCAGCACAAACCGCCCAAAGCCACCAGAGAGTCTCTGAATCTGGAGATTTTCTGTCACACATCCCTTCCATGCCGGTCTTTGTAAAAATAAATCCAGTGTTACTTTGAGACCTCTGCTTTTCCGGGTGTTCCTTCTCCACGTGCACAGCCCTTATCAGGGCAGGGCGCCCTTATCAGCACCCAGCTGCCTAAACCGACCTCCTCCCGATTTGCATTAACCAAGCTTTCACTTCTCTAAAGACCTTAATGAATTTCTGCCATTCCTGACCTCTCCTCAGCTGCCAAAACACACTTTTTTCCCCTATTTCTAATCTGCAAGAAGCCTTAAAATAATAGCATTACTGTACTTCCCCAAAGCCGCTCAGGGAAACCCCATCCCCGAGCGCCACAAGCAGCTCCAACTCAACCTCTGTGCCTCAGACGGGGAGATGCCCCAGAAGAAAAGTGCTGGCTGTGCTGGGAGCAGGGCTGGAGCCTCGGGGCTCCCGAGATAAACCCGGGGCCGCGGGCACACGCAGGAACCGGGGCTCGGCCGCAGCTGCAGCGTTTCCTGTTCCACAGAGACAGCAAGAGAGCTCAGCATGAGCTGCCTGGCATGAGGAGGGCAGCCGGGGCGTGCTCCTGCCCGAGAGCACCCGGCTCGGCACCCAGGGCAGGACAGGAGCCTGGCACAGGTAAGAGCTGCGGACCCACAGCTCCAGGCTGCTGGGCAGCAGGGCAGCAGCGGCCGAAGGCAGCTCCAGGCACCTTCTCCCTCTGTTTCCACCCCGCTTTCAGCCTCCACAGCTTGCACTGGGAAACTAGAAGGTGAACCAGCGAGAAGCAAGGTTTTTTTTCCTGGTTTCCCTTGAAGCGAGAGGTGTAACAGCTTGGAAAGAAAAGATAGAGGACGTGTTTAATTCCATGTTTAATTTGGGGTAACAGAAGGAGGAAATAGAACATTAGCTTGTCAAGAAAGCCTCCAGGGTTTGCTCAGCCCCGGGTGAGTAATGGACTGTGTTTCTTTAAGCTTTATCCTGCTTTTCAGTGCATTTTTGGTGAACTGAGGCTTTTACAGCCCTGGGACAGGCTGGGCAAGCCAGAGGCAGCACAGGTGGGAGAGGACTGAGCTTTTCCTGGTGGGAAGAGATGGATGAGTGGAGACTGAGCAGGACACACAACTGGGCCTTTTCTAAAATGGAGCAAAATGAGTGGAAAAATGCTCAGCTTTTGGAGCAGTGTCCTGGCTGGGGCCTGTGGGCACCTTCCCCACCCAGGGACCACTCCAAAAATGCTGCTGGCCTTCAAAGGAGGCCCCTACAGTAAGAGGTAGCACCAGGAATGAGCTTTGAGCACCCCACAGCTACCACAAGGGCAGCAGAAATAATTACAGAGCAGATTTTAATACAAACCGAACAGCATGGAAGCATTCTGGATGTAACTGGCCCTCCAGAAGCACCGCCCGACACCCCACACCCATAAATCCTAGAAAGGGCTGGTTTGCACTCATCCCCCGTGTTTTGGCCTGGCTTCGCAGGGCAGAGGCCCCGAGGGGACAAGGCCACCATGCCCAGGAGGGCACGGCCGCGCCCGGGAGAGAGCTACGAGGAGCGGAGCGAGCGGCGGCAGGCGGCGCGGCCGCGGGGCAGGGACAGCGCTGTCCCATGCTGCCACCCTGCCCGCCGGCCCGCCCCGCCGGCCACCAGCCCCCGGCAGGCAGAGTTCCTCAGGAGGAGGAACCTGGCGGCAGAGCCCGGGGAGACCCCGCCGGGACACGAGCCCGAGGCAGCGACCCCGCTGGAGCGGTCCCCGCGGGTGGAGCCCGGAGCCAGCGCCCTGCTCCAGGTAACGCCTGCTCTGGCACAGCCCGGAGCTCAGCCTGGAGCTCATCCCGGAGCTCATCCTGGAGCTGATCCTGCTCCAGGTAACGCCTGCCCTGGCACAGCCTGGAGCTCATCCTGGAGCTCATCCTTGAGCTCATCCTGGAGCTCATCCTGCTCCAGGTAACGCCTGCCCTAGCACAGCCCGGAGCTCAGCCCGGAGCTCATCCTGGAGCTCATCCTGCTCCGGGTAACACCTGGTGTGGTACAGCCAGGAGCTCATCCTGGAGCTGATCCTGCTCCAGGTAACGCCTGCTCTGGCACAGCCCGGAGCTCAGCCTGGAGCACACGAGCCCGAGGCAGCGACCCCGCTGGAGCGGTCCCCGCGGGTGGAGCCCGGAGCCAGCGCCCTGCTCCAGGTAACGCCTGCTCTGGCACAGCCCGGAGCTCAGCCTGGAGCTCATCCCGGAGCTCATCCTGGAGCTGATCCTGCTCCAGGTAACGCCTGCTCTGGCACAGCCTGGAGCTCATCCTGGAGCTCATCCTGGAGCTCATCCTGGAGCTCATCCTGGAGCTCATCCTGGAGCTCATCCTGGAGCTCATCCTGGAGCTCATCCTGGAGCTCATCCTGCTCCAGGTAACGCCTGCTCTGGCACAGCCCAGAGCTCAGTCTGGAGCTCATCCTGGAGCTGATCCTGCTCCAGGTAACGCCTGCTCTGGCACAGCCTGGAGCTCATCCTGGAGCTCATCCTGCTCCAGGTAACGCCTGCCCTGGCACAGCCTGGAGCTCATCCTGGAGCTCATCCTGCTCCAGGTAACGCCTGCTCTGGCACAGCCCAGAGCTCAGTCTGGAGCTCATCCTGGAGCTAACCCTGCTCCAGGTAACGCCTGCCCTGGCACAGCCTGGAGCTCAGCCCGGAGCTCATCCTGCTCCAGGTAACGCCTTCTCTGGCACAGCCAGGAGCTCAGCCTGGAGCTGATCCTGGAGCTCATCCTGGAGCTCATCCTGGAGCTAACCCTGCTCCAGGTAACGCCATCCTGGAGCTCAGCCCGAGCTCAGCCCAGAGCTCACCCTGCTCCAGCCACCACCAGAGCAGCACATCCAGGTCAAACGCAGCCCAAATGCAGAGTGAACAGACAAAAACGTGCACGTTTCACAGTCCCTGCTCCTCTCCTGCTTGCCAAGCCCTGAACCACACGGAGATTTTTCTGCCATTTCTCCAAGTACAGCTGCAAGCTTCTGCTGCCAGGCTGCAGTTCTGCACTTGCACAAATTAATTTTACCCTTGATAAGTGAGCTCCATCCCCCTGGCTTCCCTCCCTCACCTGTGCTGTGAGCAGGAAGGGTGGAGGAGGCAGGAGACTCCTGGCACTCATTACCCACCCTGTGCCACACAGGAGCCCAGAGGGCTCCCTGCCTTCAAACACCTTTGTGCAGAACACCCCAGGCAGGGCCAAACAGATCTCCCTGTCAATGTATTTCCGTGTAAAATTCCCTGGGGGTCACAAAGCCGTGTGAGCTCAGACAGCTGAGCACGGGGTGATTTACACAGAGCCACCCCGCACCAGGGTGAGCAGAGCAGTCACCCACCCCTGCTGCCACTTCAACAGCTCCTGGAACAAGCTGTGACGTGCAGGGCCTGCCCCGGTGAGCTGTGCAGAGCTGGCAGCCCGGGGAGCAGAGCTGGCAGCCCTGCCCAGGCAACCAAGGGGCAGCACAGACCCACACCAGAGCCCGGCTCCCGGCCAGCTCGTCCCGTTCTGGGCTGTCGTTCCCCACCCAGCAGTCAGCAGGCTGTTCCCCACTTTGCCACGAAGCTCTGCTGCAGCCAAAGCAGCAGATCCCTGTGGAACTGCCAGAGCTCCTTGGCGTCTCCGTGCTGCCCCTCAGCAGTCCCTCCCGCAGGCACAGCCCCTGCCCTCAGCCTGTTTGGGGCAGACACTGACTCCAGCCGCCCTCTCTCTCGTTCCAGCACCCCAGGAGCTGCCCCACACTCCCCCCTGCTCAGTCCCTGCTGAGCCTCAGCAGCCCCCGGGCACGAGGGGACTCTGTCACCACCCAAGGTACGTGAGGGGTGCTCAGGTCTCCCAGCACAATATTCCCTTCCCACCTTTCTGTCTCTGTGGAGCTGTTTGGGATCAGCTGGCAGCTCCCCAGCCAGCATCCCCCTCCTGCGCTGCTTCACCACCCCAGCCTGAGTTTTCCCTGCAGACTCAGGAATTAGGGATATTTTTCCTGGGGAAGGATAAAGCAGTGCAGAGTGACCCCCAGTGCTGCTGAGCAGCTGCTGTGCCCCAGGGCTGCCCCAGGACCAGCCAGGGGAGTGACTTCACTGCAGAATAACTTCCTTTGCTTCTCTGCCATCAGAGCAGGGCATTTCTTTGCCTCTTGTGCCCTTTGAGCTGTCACTGGACACTGTTTAATAACTATTTATTTTTTATTTAAACTGGGAGCAGTGGGAGCAGAGATGGGCACCCTCATGGAAAAACACCCACGGCCCCTCAGGGGATCATTCACAGGCTCTCCCTTTGCTCCCACAGGAACACAGACCCTCCCAAGCCCCAGCCCAGGAGTGACAGACTCGAGCCAGCAGACAGAGTAAGCAGCTCCTGCTCCTGCCCTGGCAATGCCCACGGGGCAGCAGCTCCCCAAGCCCAAAGGGCTCCCCCCAAAAGGTTTGCTGCACAGACACAGCTCAGCTGGGGAGGGGGTGTCCAGCTGAAGACCCTCCCTGACCCCTCAGTAACGCACTTTTTGTTTTTCATTTCAGCTGGGGAATAGCAGTTTTAAATAAGGTAAGCAAAGCACAGGTAATGACCAGCCTGGAACTGCTGAAAGTTAAACTGCTGTGGAAATATTTCCACTTCCCTGGAAAAACGAACCCAATGGACCCCAGCAGGCTCCCCTTCTCCACCCAAATATAGGCTGCCAGTCCACTTTTATTTAAAAATATTTAGTTTATTGGAGCAAGTTCATGACATGTTTATAAACTGAAACAATCCTATTTTTAAACACCTGCCCTTTCCCTTTCAGGAAATGGTGCAGCTCTCCAACTACCTGAAGGTAGGTACCAACCAGGGCTCAGCACCCACTGGGACAGCTGGTTTTCATCAGGAATAATACATTTATAATTATTATTATTGCTAAGTGAAGGGGTGTTAAAACCTCAATTTTCACATGGCCAAAAAAGCCAACAGAGCTCAAAGGGCTGGAGCCCCTAGGCAGGGCCAGCCCTGGGCTGGGGGGCTCTGGGCTGTGCCCCCAGCTCTGCCCCCACTGACCGTGTCCCCTGCCCCACAGGAGGCCCTGCACCGCGAGCTGCTGCTCAAGCAGAAGATGGTGATTTTACAGGAGCTGCTGTCCACTCTGCTCCAGGCTTCGGAGAAATCCTGGCAGGTACCAGAGCCCCCAGCACCTCCCCTGGCTCCCCTGCCTCTCTGCTCAGGGAGGGTGGGACCAACTCAGCAGAAAAGGTGCTTTTTGTCTTCTATGAGAATGCAAAATTAAGATGATACATTTTATGTAATATATAAGGCTTTCTTATAGGATCCTTAAATCAAAGAATTCGTGCCGTTGTGGCATTTTAAAAAAAGTGTTATGAAAGTCCTGTTGGGGCAGAGAAGCGAGTGATTGGGTGAGGGGGGCACAAAAACTCGTGTTAGACATCCTGTGGTGAGAAGCTTCCGCCTTCGCTCGCTCCTCCAATATAACGTGAGCAGGAAAAAACACTCGGCCACAGGTGCAGGAAGTGGCCAGGAAACCTCAGAATACAGACAGGTGGGTGCTCCCTGCTGCTCGCTGTCCCTGCTGCAGGAGAGGCTTTGTGCTGCCTCTTGCACGCTGCTGTTCCTCAGCCTAAAAATCAGCTTTTCATCAGCTTAAAATCAGCTTTCATCAGCCTAAAAATCAGCTTTTCATCAGCCTAAAATTCAGCTTTTCGTCAGCCTAAAAAATCAGCTTTTCATCAGCCTAAAAATCAGCTTTCCTCAGCCTAAAAATCAGCTTTTCATCAGCCTAAAATTCAGCTTTCCGCAGCCTGACAGTCTCCTCGGTGCTGGAGCCAACAGGCAGATGCTGCTGCTGGGAGGGGATTCCACGAGGCAGGTGGGGCTGGGGGGCTTCTCCAGGGGGTGCTGGCAAAGGGATGGATGATGGATGGATGGATGGATGATGGATGATGGATGATGGATGGATGATCGATGGATGGATGGATGGATGGATGGATAGATGGATGATGGATGGATGATGGATGGAGGGATGGAGGGATGGATGGATGGATGGAGGGATGGATGGATGGAGGGATGGATGGATGGAGGGATGGATGGATGGAGGGATGGATGGATGGAGGGATGGATGGATGGAGGGATGGATGGATGGAGGGATGGATGGATGGAGGGATGGATGGATGGAGGGATGGATGGATGGAGGGATGGATGGATGATGGATGGATGGATGATGGATGGAGCCTTCCCCAAAATGCTGTGCCATGGAAGATGAGGGCTGGCTGGCCCTTTCCAGCCTCAGGTGAGGTGCCAGATGTTTGTTGTAGCAGCTTTTTAACCCTTTCTAACAGTTGGGTTTCAAAGATGAGCTGTTGAACACCTGTGAATGATGTGGCAGAACTCTTGGAATGGCCACTGAGTCATTTTTGAGGTGCTCTTGATGTGTGCTTGTGGCTCGATGGGGCAAGTGAAAGCACACTGCAGGGACAAAGCATTTGGTTCCTTTTCCCTCCACAATTTCACTTTGAGGTCAGAGAGACCTTCCTACCCCAGGCCTGTGCCTCAAATCCCCACCAGTTGTAAAACTAGCTTGGCTGATTCAGAAATGCTGCCGGATGAAGGATGATGCTCAGTGAGTCTCTCCATCCCAAACCCTTCCATGATTTCTGCTCCAGAGCACAGGAAGGGCCTGATTGCCTGGTACATAGCACAGCCACATCTGTGCACAGCTGGAACCTGTGCAGACAGCTGTGGAGGAGAACTGAGAAAAACCAGGCAGAATATTGCACATCTAAAATTGCTTTTCAAAATTCCACCTACTTACTAAGAGCCTTTAGTCCTTTGCATCAACAACTGAACTGGGAAGATTGAGTCCTTGGGACTGTAAATGCTTTTTTGTGCAAATTTAACCGGTGCTGAGACACCAAGGAGTCTGGTTTTGCTTGGGTCTGTCAGCTATTCCTGTAACATCGAGGAGTTTCTCTTCAGAGTCGTGACTTCAGACAGCAGTGGGCAGAGAGGATATTGGTGTTCTCAGTATGGGTGGTGGAAAACAGCCCACGTGAACTCTTTGCTAGAAGTGTTATCTGAATTTGCATGCAGTCTGCTTCCACAAAGCCTGAGCAGCCTGACTAACACCGAGAGGAGATGATGACAGTGAGGAAAATGAATCATCACGGGTGCCCTATCTGCCATCTGCCAACTGCAGATGTTGCAACCCAGAGCCAACCCATTTTCTAAGGAAAGCAGCGAGACAAGGCCGTTCCACAGCTGGAGCTCGAGGCAGGGAGGGAGCACAAGCACAGAACAGGGCTATCCGTGGGGACAGGCAGCAGCTGCACTTCTGCCAAAGCCAGCCAGAACAGCCCCAAATCCCCTCGCTCCTAACTTGTCATGTCACTGCCAGCACCTGCACTCAGTACCCAGAGAAACTGCCTCAGGACAGGTTTTCAATCCATAGGAGTTTCACCTCCCCCATATCCCATTTATTCTGAGGCTGGGAAGGTTTACTTGAGCTCTCAGCACTGAAGAGAATTTGATGTGATTACAGATGAAGGGAGAGAATGAATCAGAACACAGCCCAACAAAACACTGGGGGCACATTGTGCAGTTCAGGATTTCACATCTCACTTCAACTGCTTTTCCCCAGGGCCAGCTGAACGAGGACAAACTGAGGTGTAAACTACGGGTGCTGGAAAATCAGCTGCAGGCCTGCACCCAGGTAATGTCTGATTCACTGACAAACACGGGTGAGGAAAGGCAGGAAAACAAAAACCAAGCCTCGAACCGGGCCGGGTCTCAGTTTCTACATCAATGTGATGAGATACCTATCCAAAAAGGAATTCAACTCTGTGCTGAAGCAATGCTTCACAGCACATTAGCAGTAGCATTTACACACTCTGGGTTTGCTAATACTCAGGTGTAGCAAGGTGGGAATCTGACAGATAAGCACTTCAAGCTCTTCCTTTCTTTCCAGAGTTACTCAAAGGAGTGTGTGAAGAAGATCCTGATAGAGATGGAGGACCAGAAGCAGACCTATGAGCAGAAGGCAAAAGAGGCTCTTCAAAAGATGCTGGAGGAAAAACTCCTAACAGAGCAGAAGCTGCAGAACTCTCAGGTGAGCAACACGTCTTACACCTGGCTTGGCTTTAATTTAGCCCAACTGTGATAAAGAAAACCCACACATCAGGGAAAGGTGATGACAGCCTTGCCATTAGCAGCGAAGATAAAGATAAAAAAAATGAAGTTTTAGCTACTCAGCAAAGTCCAAAGCAGCTTTAATGCAACCTGTGCTCACTGCACGAGCTGCACATCACGTCACAGACAGCTCACAGCTGAGGAAATGTGCTCGGGTTTGTCAGCTTGAATTGCAACCCCTTCCTCCCCACCATCCCTCTGGGCCATTCCCTGCCCTGCTCACACCAACAGACACCAGGGCACGAGGTCTCCAGAGCTGCTTTTTCTGGAGCTGCTCATTTATATGAAAATAGGTTTTCCTCAAGAGGCAGCAAATTGCCTTGACCCACAGGATAAGAGGTATTTGCAGAAAGACAAGTGAGCTTTGTCCCAAGTAGCACCAGGCTCCTCAAGCCTGCTGGAGCACAGGAACCGGTTCCAGAGGGAGCATTGCCCTGCTTGGCTCTGTCCATCAGATGGCATCAGCCCCACGCGGGTTTTGTGTGCTGCTGCTCGGGGAGCCAGCACAGCCCAGCTGGTGTCACCAGGGCAGGCTGGCAGCATCCCCCGGGCCCCGGGTCACCCACCCCTGGGTCACACCCACCCCTGGGTCCCTGCTCTGCTCTCCAGAGAAGCCTGGCAGAGATGCGAGAGAGCCTGGCCCTCTGGAAGGAGCACAATGCCACACTCAAAGCCGAGCTGACCAGGGAGAGCACAGCACACACCGAGCTCAGAAACAGCTTCCAGGCTTTGCAGAGCGAGCTCCAGGTACGCCAGCTCCCGCCAGGAGCAGCTTGCTCTGGGATTTTGCTGCCGCCGGGCTGCCCAGAGCAGCCGTGGCTGCCCCCGGACCTCCGGCAGTGCCCAGGACCCCCGGCAGTGCCCCCGGACCTCCGGCAGTGCCCAGGACCCCCGGCAGTGCCCCCGGACCTCCGGCAGTGCCCAGGACCCCCGGCAGTGCCCCCGGACCTCCGGCAGTGCCCAGGACCCCCGGCAGTGCCCCCGGACCTCCGGCAGTGCCCAGGACCCCCGGCAGTGCCCCCGGACCTCCGGCAGTGCCCAGGACCCCCGGCAGTGCCCCCGGACCTCCGGCAGTGCCCAGGACCCCCGGCAGTGCCCCCGGACCTCCGGCAGTGCCCAGGACCCCCGGCAGTGCCCCCGGACCTCCGGCAGTGCCCAGGACCCCCGGCAGTGCCCCCGGACCTCCGGCAGTGCCCAGGACCCCCGGCAGTGCCCCCGGACCTCCGGCAGTGCCCAGGACCCCCGGCAGTGCCCCCGGACCTCCGGCAGTGCCCAGGACCCCCGGCAGTGCCCCCGGACCTCCGGCAGTGCCCAGGACCCCCGGCAGTGCCCCCGGACCTCCGGCAGTGCCCAGGACCCCCGGCAGTGCCCCCGGACCTCCGGCAGTGCCCAGGACCCCCGGCAGTGCCCCCGGACCCCCGGCAGTGCTCAGGGCCAGGCTGGACACTGGGGCTGGGAGCAGCCTGGGATAGCGGCAGGCGGTGCGGGGGCAGGACGAGGCGAGCTGTGATGCCCTCCCAAGCCGGCCCGGTGTGTGTGTGTGTCTGTCTGTCCGTCCTGGCGCAGCGAGCGGACGCGCAGAGCCAGCGGCTGAGCCGGGAGCTGCGGGCGCTGCGGGACGAGCGCACGGAGCTGCTGCAGCGAGCCAGCGCCCTGCGCGGCGACAACGACCGCCAGGCCGGCCACATCCGCCACATCCAAGGTAGCCGGCCGGGCTGTGCCCGCCGGAACGCGGCAGGGACGGGGACAGCGCTCCTGGAGCCGCGGGCTCCGCGCGGCGCAGCGCAGCGCGCACCGGGCTCGTTCCAGCGCGCCACAGGGCTGCTGGTTGCCAAAGCCCTCCAAAAGGTGCTCCTGGCTGGATTGAAGGGTTCAGAGAAGTGGCTTTGCTAGAGGAGAGGGTGTAATGAGAGACCTGAAAAGAAATAAAAACCTAAGATGTGTCCTCAGCTTGAAGCAGGACTTTCCTCCCTTGGCAGAGCATCAGTGCTGGGTGGTGAGGGCAGTGCAGAGGGACTGGTAATGTCCTAAAGCACCACTTCAGACACAGGCAAGGAAACTCACACGCGTTATTTCAAACTCACACGTGGCTATTTTGAAACATAATTAGGGAAGAGAAAGCGGGTTGCAGTTCTAATCTCATAACGGGTCTTGCATGAACGGCTTTAAAATAAAACCATAAATGACTTGAACATGAGGCACGAGAGAAAGAGCTGCCAGAAAAGAAAGGGCAATAAACAGCTAAAAATCACATCCCTTCAAAGAAAGTCCAGGGCAGCCAACAATATCTGCTCACTCTACACATGTGGAGAACAGAAAAGTACCACCCTTGCATAAAGATACATATTTATACCAACTTTGATCTTCTATCCTTATTTCAGATAAATTGCAAAAAGAACAAGAGCAGAAAGTAACACTGGAGGCAACAATCAGCCATTTGCAGAGTAAGTAACACAGAAATGCACAAAGTTAGAGACCTCCTTTAGTGCTATAAACAATAATGTTGCTTTTTTGTGTCCCCAGACTTGATCCAGAACCAGACCAACCAACAGAAGAGCCAGCAGGTGACAGTGCAAAGGACAGGTCAGCAAACTTTGTAACCCCCACGTAGCACTCCCTGGACACAGGAACACTAGCCCTGACTCTAGGAAAAGTCTGCAGTGCTTTAGAATAAAGGGTTATTTTAGAGCTATACAGAATGAGTTGTTTTGCTAGCTAACATTAAAACATAAACGTATTTATGATGGCAAACACTTTAAAAAATAAATGGATTTCACTGCAAATTCTACTTCAGTGGCTCCGCCATATTTTTTCCAAACAAAACACATTCCAGTGTATAATTGCAATAACAGCTGTACTTGACAAAAAGAAAGCAAAAAAAAAAAAAAAAGGAAAAAAAAAAAAGAAAAAAAAAGGCATTTTAACTCTCCCTCCCCTCCATTTCTGGCAACTGCTCAGAAATATTGCTCTTAAGATGATGAGCTTGTAGCTACAGCAGAGACAGGCCTGTGATAACAAACCCAGCTCCTGTGTCCTCTGCTTTGTGCATAGCACACAGATATTATCCCTAAACTGTGCTGAGTAAACAAGAGCTAAAGCCAGCCCAGAGCCTGGAGCTGTTTCTCATCAGAAGCCTGACTGTTTTCTAGACCAGGTTTTCACCACACAGACCCCACCTCTCACTCCTGCCAAGGAAAAACAAAAAGCTCTGTCAGAGCACCCCGAGGAGGAGGAGGAGGAGGAGGAGGAAATGTGCTCGGTGGTTTTGCCTTACTGGCAGCAAAGCAGGCAGCTGTGGAAGCTGGCAGGCTGGGCAGTGCCACAGCAGCACGCTGCAGTGACACTGAGCTGTGCCCTGTCCCTGCAGTGACACTGAACTGTGCCCTGTCCCTGCAGTGACACTGAGCTGTGCCCTGTCCCTGCAGTGACACTGAGCTGTGCCCTGTCCCTGCAGGTACCCCAGGTATCCCGGGACACTGCAGTGACACTGAGCTGTGCCCTGTCCCTGCAGTGACACTGAGTTGTGCCCTGTCCCTGCAGTGACACTGAGCTGTGCCCTGTCCCTGCAGTGACACTGAGCTGTGCCCTGCCCCTGCAGGTACCCCAGGTACCCCAGGACACTGCAGTGACACTGAGCTGTGCCCTGCCCCTGCAGTGACACTGAGCTGTGCCCTGCCCCTGCAGGTACCCCAGGACGCTCGGGCAGAGCTGGGCCATGCACGTTGCAGCCACTGCCGCAGCCCGGCCGCCCTGGGGGCGTGCAGAGCCCAGGGGACCCCTCCTGCTGAGAGCCCCTCGCTGTGCTTGCAGTGCTCGGAGCTGCGCGTGGAGCTGGAGGCGCTGAGCCAGGAGTACCAGTCCTGCCTGACCCGGCTGCGCCAGTGCCGCGACGAGCTCAACCGCTCCCACGGCAGCCAGGCACAGGTGGGAGCCCCTGCCCCGACCCCTGGGACACAGCCCCTCCTCTGTGCCGTGCAGGGGGCACGTTTACCAGGCTGGCACGGGAAGTGGCATCCCCCAGCACGCTCCTAGTAACACCAGCTTCTCCCGGCAGAGACGGCGCGGTCCCTGCATCCCTCTCCTGGTGGCAGTAGCAGCAGTGGCCGTCGCCGCCTTCCTGGCGACTTACAGGCTGTGAAGGAGCTCCCTGATGACTGACTTCACCGCAGGAACTGACCTGTGCTTCACCAGGAGCAACCTGGCCTCACCTCACCTTCTGCTGTTTTGTATGTGCACACTGGGTTTGTATCCCGAGCTCTCTCACTGCAGCCAGCTCCTGTGACCACGGGCACATCACCCCTTCCCTCGGCTGCTGGGGTTACTCCATCCTGAGCTGTCTCACTCCAGCCAGCTCCCACAAACACGTGGACAGGACATCACCCCTTCCCTCGGCTGCTGGGGTTACTCTGTTCCTGCCCTGAGGCACCGAGGGACAAAGGCCCTGTGCCCACCACTGCTGTGGCTCGCACAGGGTGAGAAGGACAGGGCATCCTGTGCCCTGGCATCCAGCCTGCCTGGGGTTTATACCCCCAAGCTCTCCTCCTGTATTTACTGCCTCCCTGAATGGGAGGTTCTCGATCCTGGCTGTCTCTACCCTTACCTGACAAAGGAACCAGCTCAGGGGGGCTCCTCAGCACAGTCCCCTCGTGTGTCCTGAGCAATTCTCCCACCTGACGCCCACTGCTTTATCCCACTCCTGCCTCTCCTGTGGCCGAGCATCCCCACAGCCACACCTGCTTCCCCTTCACTGCCAGCACCACAAGAATTCACCAGAGACAGGGGTTTAAAGTCCCTTTTGCAGCTGCACCGTGCAGGTTTTACAGCAGTACTTGCCCATCATTCATGTGCAGGCTCAGACACAATGCAGGCCATGACACCACCTCCCGAGGAAGTAAATATACCTGAAATATACACATAATGTACACATAGTAAATACACATGGAGCCTGCAATAAACTTCACTAATTCAAAGCACCATGGTGATCAAATAATTTATTAATTTTCAGCTGCCCACTGCAAATAAATACACACTGACTTTGCAGGGTGCGATGTGCAGGCAGGCAGGACCGAGGCAGCATCTGGGAGCACACTCGTTTTTTTTTTAAGAAAATGTATTTGGTTTTGCCACCGGCCTGCAGTGACCGTCTCAATTCAGCCTTCAGTGCTCAAGGACCATGAGAGACGCAGGGGACAACACACACGGGGAGCTGGATCTTCTGCCTTGGTCCCTAATGCAGTGAGGAAGGCCAAAAAGTCTGAGTACGCTCCTGTTTTACAAGGCAACCGCTGGAAGAGACACGACCTCGCTGGAAATGCAGAGATCTACAAAATCGCTCTGAGCACTGAAAGCCTCCTTGAGCTCCTGGCGCCAGGCATCCAGCACGTCCCCGAGCTCGGCGCAGAGGCTCTCCGGGACGCTGAAGGAGTAGATCTGCACCCTGAGCCCATCCTTTATGCGGGGGCAGGAGGCCCGGGCCGTGAACAGCCTCAGCGGGGTCAGCGCCAGGCAGTTCTCAGCACCCTCGGCGAAGGTGTACACGGCGGGGTAGCCCAGCAGCACCCCGGCCACGGTGCACAGGTTCCAGCCGCTGGCGACAACCTCGCTGGCGGTCACCGGCTCGGCGCTGCTGGCCTCGGCGTCCCGCAGGTGGCCCAGGAGGGCGGCGAGGTGGCGGCGCACGGCGCGGGCCTCGGCCGGGGCGCAGAGCCGCGGGCCAAGCAGGGCCCAGGGACAGTGTCCGCAGCCCGGGCACAAAGCAGGGCCCAGGGACAGTGCCCACAGCCCGGGCACAAAGCAGGGCCCGGGGACAGTGCCCGCAGCCCGGGCACAAAGCAGGACCCAGGGACAGTGCCCGCAGCCCGGGCGCAAAGCAGGGCCCAGGGACAGTGCCCACAGCCCTGGCAGAAAGCAGGGCCCAGGGACAGTGCCCACAGCCCGGGCTCAAAGCAGGGCCCAGGGACAGTGCCCACAGCCCGGGCTCAAAGCAGCAATGGAAGGGCATTGCCTGCAGCCTGGGCACAAAGCAGGGCACAGGGACAGTGCCCGCAGCCCGGGCACAAAGCAGGGCCCAGGGACAGTGCCCACAGCCCTGGCACAAAGCAGGGCCCAGGGACAGTGCCCACAGCCCGGGCACAAAGCAGGGCCCAGGGACAGTGCCCGCAGCCCGGGCACAAAGCAGCAATGCAGGGACAGTGCCCGCAGCCCGGGCACAAAGCAGGGCCCGGGGACAGTGCCCGCAGCCCGGGCACAAAGCAGGGCACGGGGACAGTGCCCGCAGCCCGGGCACAAAGCAGCAATGCAAGGACAGTGCCCGCAGCCCGGGCACAAAGCAGGGCCCAGGGACAGTGCCCGCAGCCCGGGCACAAAGCAGCAATGCAGGGACAGTGCCCGCAGCCCGGGCACAAAGCTGGGCCCCGGGACAGTGCCCGCAGCCCGGGCACAAAGCAGCAATGCAGGGACAGTGCCCAGAGCCTGGGCACAAAGCAGCAATGCAGGGACAGTGCCCGCAGCCTGGGCACAAAGCAGGGCACAGGGACAGTGCCAAGCCGTGCTGGGAGCCACTGACAGCTCTGTGCCATCACTGAGTGATCAGGGCTGTTCAGATCTGAGTGATCAGCCCCCAGGAAACTAGAGAAGCTCCAGAGGTTGCTTTCAACCCCATGCTGTTTTATATGCATTTACAATGCCAACATATTAGAATCACTATTAAAAAACCCCACACTGAAAGGAGAATCACCCTTTGAGGTTGCTGTTACAGCCCGTGAAAGAGAAAAAAAGAAGACAAGGTGATATTGTCCAGGCAGATTTAATAGAGCACAGATTATTTTCTTTCTCCCCTTCTAATGATCAAGTGTTTATATACATTGTATTATAGCAGATTAAAAAATATTACAGAATTGAAATCTGATTTATACAGAAGGGTTACTTAAGCAAACAGCTGAAGAGGGTGAAGGAGCTAGAAGCATTCCTGTAATCCCCCCTGTTCTGAGCCACTTCCAAAACAAAAGCACCACAAATTGCTGAAATTGTAGAAAGATGACGAGATTTACAGATTTTATTTGTTCAGACCGAGGCGAGGCACAGGTTAGGAAACGCTTCTGTGTATGTACAAGAAGAAGCCCCGGAGGAAGCGCTCACTGCGCTGGGAGCGGCTGTGCCATGTGCATGGCCGGGGCCTGCATGGGCCAGCCCTCCTGGTGGTTCTGCAGCAGCCGGTAGAGCTGCTTCAGGTGTGCCACGATGTTGTCCTTGATGTCCGGCGTGGAGATCTGCAGCCGCACGCTGCCGCTGTCGAAGGAGCGCGTGAAGTCCCCGGAGAACATCTCGTAGATCATCCGCGCCACAACGGGGATGACCTGGCGAAGAAGTCCCTTATTTACCTAAAGGCATGTGGAATGTCCCTGTTTCTCTGCAGGAGCCCCTGCCCTGGATGCAGAGATGGTTTCCACAATACCCTAAAACGCATCCACAAACCAGTTCTGTTCAGCACACGTCACATTTGTATTTGCTCTCCCAAACCACCAGGCTTACTGGAGTTTTCCTGGTGTCAGAAGCCACAGCAGGTAAGAACAGGTCTCAGTATGCACGGGAATTGATCCTGAACCAAACAAGGCTGGCACATGTCACCCCAGAGCCCCAGTGCCCTACCTGCACCACGATCAGCTTCCTCTCCCTGGGTTTTCCATCGGGCCACTCTTCTCCAAAGCAGAAGTAGATCTCGTAGGGTGGCTGTTTCTCAATTTGTCCCTTCTGATGGGCAATCAGCTCTAGGAAGAAAAGCAGAGTGCTGCAGGGTTGTCCTCTTCAGGGGAAACACCCATGACATCCCACCTCATTGCATCATCCCCAGCCTTACCTACACAGTCCTCTGCCACCTCTCACACAGTTACAGCTCACTCCTTGCACGTGAAGGGCTTTCTTTAAAAGCAAGGCCCTCTGATGTCTCTCAGAGCATTAAATGAGTGTACAGTGCCCTTCTCCTGCCACACACCCTCTCCAAGGTCCCCTGAAGTCAGTGGCCCTGACCCACTGTCCACACCTGGTGCATCCAGGCGGAGCCCCAGTGCAGACCACCCTTCCCAACAGCGCCGTGCCCGCTGTCCAAAGCTGTTTTCCAGAAGCAGAAGTTACCTACCGCTCAGGAACGTTTCCAGACAGAAGAGCTTGACCTTCTTTTGCCTCTCGATCAGGTTTGGGGTGGTGGAGGAGGGGGCACAGGGCCCAGACCAGTACACCTTGCACTGGCAGAGCCGCACGGCGTAGATGGCGTGGCCGCTGACCTCCAGGATCAGTCCCCTGTCCATAACATCCAGCAGCCGACTCGTGAAGATCTTCTGCCTTTCGTTGGTGATCTGCTCCGTCCCTGGAAACTTGACTTGCTCCAAACTGATGGGCCCAAAGAGCTCCTCCTGGTCTGGCATAGGACCCAGCTCTCCGTAGAACAGTCTGCAGCCCTGCGGGTTGCTCACGGTCGTTGTGGGTCCGGTCTCCTTTCCTCGATACTCAAACTTGATTTCTAGGTCTGTCACTGAGAGAGAAACCATCAGCGGGGCTTTTCCTGGAGCACCAGCAGCTGGGACACCACGCAAGCCCTGCTGCCCTCACGGGGATGTTCACACCACACACAATTCTATTTAAACTACACAAGTTCTCCTCACTCACTCACAGCCACGGAAAAAAGGCAAAACCCTCTTTTCTGTGGGGTTTTAAAGTACAAAGCAGAAGCAGCGTTACAAGCCCATGCACGTACTTGGCAGGGAGCTGATCCAGAGCTCAGGGCTGCTGAAGAAGTCGTGCTGCAGCGCCGTTGGGGGCATTTCCATATCCAGAGGTTCATTCTTTGGCCACACAGTTTCAGAGCTGCAGTTTTCTGCACTGGCAGGAGCCATCGGAGAATCTACAAAAAGGCAACAACTCTTCAATAAATCAAGATTTTATTTCAAGCATGCAGAAATTTACAAACAAATACCTTCACTAATACATCAGTCTGTGCCACCTACCATTGATATTAAGAAATGGAAATGTCTCTTGAATTGGGACATGCTGAGATTGATTCAATTCTTCCTCCTCTTCATCATCAAGATCATTATCCTTTTCATCCCACGGAGCTGAGCCAGTGGAACCTGCAAACAAGCACATTCTTGTGGGTGGATGATCAGCATGAAACACTGGGAAAGGATCATCCTCATGCTGGATATTAATTTGTGTATTTTTCAAATCTCAGTAAAAAAAGGATAAATCTCATCCATACAACATGCTAATTCCAGTTTAATATATAATTCTAGAAAGCAAAGGTTCAAGTATTGATGAAGTAAGACACAGTATTGCCAATATTAGCCTGTTTAGCAGGAAAACACACAACTGTGTGCAGCTTTTTAAATTTTAGGGCTAAAGGATGGTTCAAAATCCTTTTAGTTACAGTACAGGCTTCAGCTGGCAGCTGCTCCTGCTGCACAAGGGCAGCTGCAGAGTTAATGCAGAGAGGGAAGGAGCTGCCTTGGACCCACGCCTGCCCAGGAGCCAGCCCGTGTCAGCAAGGCCCTCACCTGGATTAATGATTGATCCCTGCGACTGCGGGATGTCACACACTTCATAAATTTTAATAGGGTTCATGGGCACCTCCTTGGTGCCATCGTACATCAAATTAAACTCCCGGCTCTTGTTCAGTGCACATCGGAGCTGGGCCTTCCACTTTGCAGGGTCTGGCTCGTCCACTCCTTCCTGGTACTTTCCCGTTTCCACGGCCCATGCCTGGGGACAAAGTACAGGCAGCTCAGTCCAGCCCTCCCCACAGAGCAGCTTTTATCAGAAACCAAACCTCCAAACGAATCCACCGTAAAATCTTAGTTAGAGCTCTTGTGATAACAAAAAAGGAAATTCCCACTTCAATAGTTTTTCTATTAAAAGAAAGTGGAGAAAAAGGATGTAAATCCAAATTCCAAAAGAATGTTCACAATTCTGGGTTAGAGATTTTGTGGGTCTCAGATTCAACACCAGAAATCATTTTTGACAGGGAGCCTCTGCAGTAGGAATGGACTCGGTTAAAATGGAGTGGAAGGACAGCCACAGACATCCAGCTGGCCTCTCCCTCTCTCACCCCAAAATCTGATTACTGGTCCAAGATGCCTCCAAGACAAAGGTCAGAAATTCCTCAAAGGAGTGCAGGGAGTTACAGTGAATCCCTTGGGATAAGAATATTAGGGACAGCAGCGATGAGTGCTTGTGATGAGCTTGTGGTGGACCTCTTAAAACTTATGTAACAGCATTTCATGGTTTGCTGCCAAGAACAAGCCAGTGACCACATCCCAGCCTGAGCACATGAAGCCAACAGCAGTCATCTTCCAGAGACCCAGGATCACACAGCACCCGGCCTTTGGTGGTGGGAAAGGGTTAAAGAACTCAACACCATCCCAGGCAGCGCCAAGCTTGGCATCCAGGTGCACAAAGTGGCTTTTCTGAGGTCAGATAAATAAAATGTGCCTGCAAACAGCTCCCGAGATGCCCGACCGGCTCCTGGGCCAACAATCCAGCCCTTTGTCTCTGTTCCAGAGCCGTGGGACGCCCGAGCTGCCCCCTGCCTCACCTTGAAGATGGTGTTCTCCTCCTCGTGCTGGGGGCTGTGCCGAGTGGCGTGTTTCCAGGGGATCTGGAAGCGCTTGGCCTCGCGGTTCAGCCAGATGAGCCCGGGGTACATCCCGCTGTCCACCTGGGCCACCAGCCACGGCTTCAGGCGCACCCGCCGCGGGTGGAGGGCCATGCTCTGCAGGGGTGACAGCAGAGCCACTGCTGGAGGTTACTTGAGCCTCGTTTGCTTCAAAGAAACGGAATTCGTTTAACGAGAAAGGGCCCTGTGCTGTGTGACCGCTGTTATGTTTACGGTACTGCACCCTGAGAGCGCCAACTCAGACTCAGCTGGGTGACTCCTCTGCCAGGGAGGGTCACACACGCCTCTCCAAGGGGGCCCAGAGCTGCCAGGGGGACAGCAGCTCACATTCAGTGCCCCAGAGTGCGATATTTGTGCTCAACCAGCACACGGAGCGCGAGCCCCGAGCAGAGCTGGGCTGTAAACCCTGAGCAGGAGATAAAGCCACAAACAAGCCACAGCAGGAACAGGCAGCAGAGTTTCCAAAGCCTCCACGCACACCTTGGAGAAGGGGCTGATCTGATCTCTGCTCCTTCAGTCCTGTCAGACTCGCACTCATGAGGAGAAACTGGCCCCGACTGGGAGGCTTTACCCGAGGCTCAGGGGCCAGGCTGAGGCACAGGGGCTGTTCTGCCCCAGCCACAGACTCTGAAAGTCATTTTATGAGTTTTCCGTGAATGCCCTGAATGCAGCATAATCACTGGCAAACAGCAGTGACCTGTAATAACCAGGATGTTTATCCAGAAGGACATGAACTGCAGGTCTGCCTGCGCTGCTGCTAAAAATCGACTGCTGTTTACTTAATGTTTTTGTTAAGTAGCCTTGTGCTGCTCACACAATTGCAGCCAGCCAACAATATTTTCCTTGTGTAGAACAAAGCCAAACAAACAAAATTAACGTGTGTCCTTCACTAAGAAGAGGCAACATTCAGTATCTTTAGCTTTTGGGAGGGAATTTCTGCACAACGCGTGTGCTCAGAGGTGCATCTCCCATATTTCTTTGTAAATCCTGAAACAGAGGTGAGAAATTACAAATATTCCTATTAATAAAGCAGTTACAGGACAAGTAAAACCTCTGCCATAAGCCCTGAATATTGCTGGAGGAGTTGCAAAATGTGTCTGGTAGCAGAGATGGAGAAGATTAAAAAAAAATCCTATCCAAGAACTAGTCTAGGAACAGGTTTTATTTGTTCAAATACCTGCAGATCCCATTCAGAGGCAAGCGCTCACACAAAATTAATCCAAACACAACTCAGTTTATCTGTTTATCTTTTCTGCAAAGAAAATGTTCAGCTTCAACTGCAAACCATTTTTAAATAATAGTTTGAAAATGTGTGGGCACATTACCAGACTGTTTCCCAGGAGCTGCAAAGGATCAGGAAGCAATCATCAAAATTATTTTATTGTTCCTGAAACTCTGCTGTGTTGGTTCTCCATGTTGAAAATGCTGTCAGAATTAAATCTTCAGAAGTGTGCTTCCAAAGACACAAAGTCCAGGTTAATCCTGGACTTGGAATTGAGACCAAAATCAGATACTGATTCCTCTTGAAAAGGAAAAAAAAGTGACATTTTGAGGAATCCTTAGCACAGCTGCTTTCCAGCATCTCTTTTACACTGAACATTACAAGCAGTCCCCGCTAATAACGCAAGACACAGAGTAAATTCAGACCCCCAGAAAAGGGGGGATTTGTGCCCCTGTCACAGCACAGGAGTCGGGTGACACGGTGGGTGCTGGCAGGGATTGTCCCCGGCCCGCAGACAGCGTCTGTCAGCGCTCCACACTACAATGCTTTATGACCTTTTATCACCAATGACTTGTTGACACAATAACTGAGAGCAAATCAACTTGAATCCCATTGCTGGGCTCAGACGGTGAGTCAGCCTCTCACAACCTTCAACTTCGATCCGGTGGGTTCCTCTAATGCCAGACACCTGGGGAATGTCGGTGACATTCCCGGCTCTGCCAAGGCAGAGGCTCCTCCTGCACAAAGCCAGCTCCCTTTATTCCCACTCCATCTGGGTGCTGGGTAGGGATAATTAGCACATCCTTGTGCTGCTAATGCATCTCTGGTCAGTGATGTAATTACTGCCTGTACCCTAATTATTACTCTTTCTCTTTGGAGACATTCAGCCCAACAAGAAGCACTCCAAGTCAGGAAGGAGCAGAGAGCCTGCAGCCACTGCCCAGAGGGCTGCAGAGGAGTGACCAAGGTCAGGGACAGCCCCGGTGCGGTCCCAGACAGTCCAACAGCACTCAGAGCACCAGGAAAACCATCCTGAAGCCCAACTCAGCTTTGCTACACATCCAAATACACTCAGTGTTCCTGCTCCATCTCATCCATTAAAGCCTCTGAAGATGGAAGGGTCTTCTCGGGGTTCACTGCTGCAAACCCACAGACCCCTCTCCTTTCTTTGTTTGCTATATTATCCTGGATTTCATGGACCTGTATTCGTTTTTTTCAAAGGCAAACCTTCCCACAGAGAAACAGGCTGGATTTCCATCCGATGCTGAATCACCTCCCTAACCAGGAACCTGGGGCTCCCACATTTCAGAGCTCCGTACATCTCCTGCCTCCCACCACCCCTGCTGTCCCCAACACACCTGAACACGACCAACTCTTTGAATTGCCAGTTTGCACACCCCAATCTGGTCACCTCAGCCCCCGCCACGGCCAGGCTGCCCTGAAATTGGAAGGGGCACGAGGTGTTACACAAAGTGTGAGGATTTGGGGTGTAACAGCTGCGAGCCGAAGCCTGCAGGGGGTGGGGGGAACACACCAGCCTTGCCCTAACTTTAGGCCTCGCTTTCCACCGACCTGGAAGGCGTAGCCCGGGGCTAGCCGGGGGCAAGGAGCGCTAAATTGGCATTTTCAGCGGGCTCTGCCCTCCCGGCTGCGCCCGGACCCGCACGGCGCCCCCGCACCGCCGCCCTTCCCCCGGGGCCGGGCGCTGCAGCCTCCAGACCCCGCACGGAGCCCCGCAGTGCCCGGAGCCCCGCGGTGCCCCGGGACCGCTCCGCACCGGCCCCGCAGTGCCCCGGGACCGCTCCGCACCGGCCCCGCAGTGCCCCGGCCCCGCAGTGCCCCGGCCCCGCTCCGCACCGGCCCCGCTCCGCACCGGCCCCGCTCCGCCGGGAGCCCCA